ATGAACTGTTCGAGCTCCTCGTGGGAGCACGAGGCGGCGCCGATACAGTCATCAATGTAACGGAGGAAGAGGTGGGGTTTAGGGCCAGTGTAGGTACGGAAGAGGGATTGTTCCACGTAACCTACAAAGAGGCAGGCGTAGCTTGGGCCCATGCGGGTACCCATGGCCACCTCCTTTGTCTGTAGGAAGTGGGAGGAATTGAAAGAGAAGTTGTTGAGTGTGAGGACGAGTTCGGCTAAGCGGATGAGGGTATCGGTGGAGGGGGACTGGTCGGGCCTGCGGGACAGGAAGAAGCGGAGGGCCTTAAGGCCATCTGCATGGGGAATGCAGGTGTAGAGGGACTGGACGTCCATGGTAAAGATGAGGTGTTGGGGACCGGGGAATTGGAAGTTCTGGAGGAGGTGGAGGGCGTGGGTGTTGTCACAGACATAGGTAGGGAGTTCCTGGACCGGGGGGAGAAAATGGAGTCTAGATAGTTGGAGATCAGTTCGGTGGGGCAGGAGCAGGCAGAGACAATGGGTCGACCAGTGCCTCGCCTGACAAAATGGAGAGAGATGTGCATTTGGCAAGGCTTAGCCTTAATAAACAGAATGGGTTAATTACATGGTACTTAGTAGCTAGTCACACACTGTCTGACTCACGTGAGATTATTTTGTAAGACCTCAGGTTAGATGTAGGTGTAAGTGTGCATGTCTGTTGGTTATTTAGAACTAAACAGAAGAGCAACTGCAATAGCACAATGGCAACAACACCTTTTGGTTCCTGGCAGGAACAGTGCTTTATATTCTGATGAACGGAGACTATTGGATGATGCCAGTCAAGCTTTTCAGATACTAAATAAAAACCGAAAGACCTGTGGATGCAGTAAATCAGGAACAAAAAAAAAGTTGCTGGAAAAGCTCAGCAGGTCTGGCAGCATCTGTGAAAGAGACTTTTTCCTAGGGTGGAGGTAGCTCTTACAAGGGGGCATAGTTTTAAAGTGAGTGAAGGTAGATATAGGGGAGACGTCAGAGGTAGGTTTCCTTCACCGGACCTGAAATGTTAACTCTGTTTTTTCCTTCACAGATGCTGCCAGACCTGCTGAGCTTTTCCAGCAACTTTTTTTTTTCAAATACTAACTGCCTAACTACAACAAAGCCCACTTTTAGTTTGGAGTCGTCCATGCACAGATGATGAAAATTGATTTGAAACAAAAATATCAAGTGTAGTGATAGAAGGATTGGAGATGGGGCTATGCAGGATTTACGCATTTTCTAATCAGTTGGTTCAGGGATGTTATTAACAGGTATGGAGCAGCTGGCCTTCTGGCTCAGGAACACTACCACCATGTAAGGTAGCAAAGCATCTGAATAACAGCCTAACACAATTGGCTGTGCTGGGACTTGAACCAATGTCTCCACCAAAATTGGACCTTGAAGCTAGCACGTTAGACCACTCAGCTACACCGCCAGCTGGGTAGTGTTTAAGCTTGTTTCTTTGTCATTTTGATCATTCCCAATGCCTGGCTTCTCAAACACAATCAGGTAAGAATTGTTAGTTGTTAAATGTTAGCAGGGTAGGGAGATATTAGCCAGGGGTCCCATTCTTGTTCACTGACTGTTGTGCTGAGGACAGATCAGAGGTATAGATAGAGTGGACAGCCAGAGACTTTTTCCTAGGGTGGAGGTAGCTATTACGAGGGGGCACAGTTTTAAAGTGAGTGGAGGTAGATATCGGGGAGAAGTCAGAGGTAGGTTCTTTACTCAGAGAGTGGTAGGGGCGTGGAATGCATTGCCGGAGAGGGTAGTGGAGTCGGCCTCATTAGGGGCATTTAGGCAGCTATTAGATAGGCATATGGATGATAGTATAAGGTAGGGGTGGAGGCTAGATAGACCTTGGGTTTAGGGTAAAAGTTCAGCACAACATCGTGGGCCGAAGGGCCTGTACTGTGCTGTACTGTTCTATGTTCTATGACAGCGTGAGGATTGACTGTGATGCTGTCTACAGTCAATAATCTTCCTATATTTACCATGTAACTGAGGCAAAGAGGGATGAACAATGTCCCTGACGTTATACCATGCTCTGTATCAGCCTTTTCTTGTGAAGGGAGGTAAGAAAATAAAGTAGACAAATAGATGTTTATTGTTACTGGACTGATTGGTTATTTTTGTCCATCTCTAGGGTAAACCGGGGGTTGATGGAAAGCCGGGACTTCCTGGAAAGAATGTAAGTATTTCCAAACTATTACACAAAATGACCTGCTGACACTGGGATCTGACAGTGCCCAGGAGGAGATACTGTGCTTGTGAGAGTTAACAGAACCTGGCTTTCCACAGAATTGTGGACTGGAGCTATGATACTGTTCCCTGACAGCACGCTACGCTCACCGTGCAACCCCCAACCAGCCACCTACCCAGAATGCAGCAGATCAAGATGGTGGCTCATCCCCACCTTCTCCAGGGCATTTAGGGATGGACAACAAGAGCTGGCCATCCAGTGATACCCACAGCCTTGGATGAGTTAAAAGAAACCTGGAGGCCATTTGTCACATTGTGCCACTGCTAGAGAAATTTCAGCCAGGCCTGTGTCCCCAGCCTTCTCACACAGCCCTACAGCAATTTCCCAATCCAACTGCCTCAGGAAGAAACTGCAGCTTCCTTCACTCCCAGGCCTAAGCACTTGCCTGAAATGGGGTATGTTATCACAAAGGGAGCAGTGCCTGAGCAATTCCCCCAAAGAGGATGACACAGTGGTTAATGCTGCTGCCTTATGGAGCCAGGGGCCTGGGTTCAAAAATCCCACCCTGGTGGTGTGGTGTTTGCATGTTCTCCCTGTGTCTGTGTGGGTTTCCTCCCACAGTCCAAAAATGTGTGGGTTGGGTGGATTGGCCATGGGAAATGCATGGATAGGGTCTGGGTGGTATGCTGTGTGGACTTGATGGGCTGAATGGCTTGCTTCCACACTGTAGGGATTCTATGACTCTCTACTGACCCCCACGCAATGTTGACCCAGCCAGTGACATAAGGGAAAAAGCACAGCTTCTCAAATGGAAATGAAAATCCCACTTTTTTTTTATAAAAAGCATTTGGGGCAGCATGGTGAATCAGTGGTTAGCACTACTGCCTCACAGCACCAGGGACCTGGGTTCAAGTCCACCCTCAGGGCTCTGGATAGAGTTTGCACATCCTTCCCGTGTCTGCATGGGTTTCCTCCAGATGCTCCAGTTTCTTCCCACAGTCCAAGGATGTGCAGGCTAGGTGGATTGGCCATGCTAAGTTGCCCGTAGTGTTCAGGGATGTGTAGATTAGGGGGATGGGTCTGAGTGGGATGCTCCATGGGTTGGTGTGGACTTGTTGGGCCAAAGGGCCTGTTTCCACACAGTAGGGATTCTATGATGTATGCAGTTCCCAAGTGCTCTTGATCCAATATTTATTGCTCAACCAATTTTACTAATATCTTGTCATTATCACATCTCTGTTTGTGGGATCTTGTCATGTACCAGTTGGCTGCCCTACGTTATAATCGCAGCAACATTCCAGACGAACATTTTTGACTGCAAAGTGCATTCGGATGTCCTGAAGTATGATATAAATTTCTTCCTCATGATTATTTGTCCGACGTTTTTGTTTGTCATGCTGGGAGCATGAAGTTACAGGATGGATTACAATCTGCAATGTAATTGTGTGGTATGATCTGCCTGTACTGCACACAAAACAAAACTCTTCACTCGACCTAGCTACATCTGACAGTAGTAAATCAGCCAAGTCCCAGTTTACTTATTCCTGCTGTTGCTGGTATGGAGAGAAAGTGGGCGTGGGATACACAAATTGCATGATCAACCGTAATCGTGTTGAATGATAGTCCAGGCTCGAAGGGCCAAATGGACTACTCCTGCACTTTTTTTTAATGCTTCTGTGTTAATCTTTCTGCTCTTCCCTAGGGAGAGAACGGGATTCCAGGAGAGGATGGAAAGAAGGTAGGTGGGAAGAATTGGTTAAGCCTTTCCAAAATCCCTCTGCCCCTCTCAAAATCCCTCTCCCAAAAATTTTGCGGGCTTTATTTTAGCCTTCCTGCACTGAGTCCCACCTGGAGGCAGCGAGGATGAGGCATGGTGACCGAACGTTGTCCTTGGCAACGGTTCCTGGAATGATGGTGGAGTTGGAAGCAGAGAGGCCCAGGGGAACTCTTCCTAAACCAGAGAGGCATGATGAGGAGCTTGTGAAATTGTTAAGGAATTAAAGTTTACCTGGAGCTCCTGTGGCCCATCTACATTGTCAGTTTAGAATCACAGGAATGTCGACGCTACAGTCAAGAGATGCCCTGCTTCTTCAGGAGGCTAAGGAAATTCAGCATGCCCAAAAGGACTCTTACCAATTTTTATCGATGCACCATAGATAGCATCCTATCTGGATGCATCACAGTGTGGTTCGGCAATTGCTATTCTCAAGACCCGCAAGAAACTACATAAAGTCATGAACACAGCCCAGTCCACCACACAAAACCCACCTCCCATCTATACTTCCCACTGCCTTGGGAAAGGAAATGATATAACCAATGATCCCTCCCACCCCAGTTATACTCTCTTCCACCCTCTTCCATCAGGCAGAAGATATAAAAGTTTGTATACATGTACGAACAGATTCAAGAACAGTTTCTTCCCCGCTGTTATTAGACTTCTGAATGGATCTCTCAAATTTCAAACTTAACGTCAATCCCGCTGTTTGTGCACCTTCTCTGCAGCTGTAACATTGTATTCCTCACTCTGTTCTATTACCCTAATGCACTTAGTGTGGTATGATCTGCCTGTACTGCACACAAAACAAAACTTTTCACTCTACCTAGCTGCATGTGACAGGAATAAATAAAATCGAATCAAAAATTCCTACAGCACGGAAAAAAACCATTCGGCCCATCGCAGTGGCTCCTCCTCTTCAAATGAGAATCTTACTTTGTGCCATTCCCTACCTTCTCTCTGTAGCCCCGCACATCCTTCCACTACAAACAACCATCTAATGCCCTTTTTAGTGCCTAGTTTGAACCTCCCTCCATCACACTGTCAGGCAGTGCTTTCTGGAACCTAACTATTCACTGAGTTCAAAGTTTCTCATCACATCACTTTTGCTTCCTCTATTAATTGTTTTGACTCTGTGCCTTCTCATTCTCACTCCCTTCATGAGTGGGAACAGCTACACCTTATTTACTCTGTCCAGTCCGCTCAGGATTTTGAAAACATCAATCATATCTCTTGAGATAGTAGGAACTGCAGATGCTGGAAAATCTGAGATAACAACGTGTACAGCTGGATGAACGCAGCAGGCCAAGCAGCATCATAGGAGCAGGATTTCTGATGAAGGGTCTAAGTCCGAAACGTCAGCCTTCCTGCTCCTATGATGCTGCTTGGCCTGCTGTGTTCATCCAGCTCTACACCTTGTTATCTCTTAGTCATATCTCTTTGCAGCCTTCCCGTCTCCCAGGAGAACAGTTCCAACTTCTTCAATTTTTCTTCATGATTGGAATTCCTCATCCCTGGAGCCATTCTCATAAACCTCTTCTGCACTCTCTGCAACACATTTGCATCCTTCCTAAAATGCACCACCCAGAACTGTACACAATACTCCAGCTAAGTCTGCCCTAGAGTCCTATACAAGTTCAACATCACCTCCTTGCTCTTGTACTCTGTGCCCCTATTAATTAAACATAGAATACTGTGTAAGAACGTAGGAAACAGGAGCAGGAGCAGACCATCTGGCCCATCGAACCTGCTGCACCATTCAATAAGATCATGGCTGATTTTTTCATGGACTCAGCTCCACTTACCACCCACTCACCATAACCCTTAATTCCTTTATTGTTCAAAAATCTATCTGTCTTTGCCTTAAAAACATTCAACGAGCTAGCCTCAACTGCTTCACTGGGCAGGGAATTCCACAGATTCACAACCCTTTGGGTGAAGAAGTTCCCCCTCAACTCAATCTAAATCTGCTCCCCCTTATTTTGAGGCAATGCCCCCTGGTTCTAATTTCACCCGCCAGTGGAAACAACCTCCCTGCTTCTATCCTATCTATTCTCTTCATAATTTTATATGTTTCAATAAGATCCCCCCTCATTCTTCTGAATTCCCATGAGTATATTCCCAGTCAACTCAATCTCTCCTTCGTATGCTTTCTTAAGTTCTCTCAGCTTGTCCTGTCACCTTTTGATGACTTATGCACATATACCCTCCAAGTCGTTCTGCCTGCACCCCCTGTATAGAGATAAACTCTTTATTTTACATTACTGTTACTTTCTTCCTGCTAAAGTGTATCAACTCAGGAGAGGCACTGGCCATGTGCTATTATCGCTGGTCTATTAATCCAGGGACCCAGGTAATGTTCTAGGGATCTAGATTTGAATCCTGTCATGGTAGATGGTGGAATTTGAGTTCACTTTTTTTTAAAATCTTGTATTTAGAGTCAGTGAAATCATCGTTGAAAAACCCATCTGGTTCACTCACATCTTTTCAGGAAGGGATCTGCCATCCTTACCAGGTCTGGCCTCCATGTGACTCCAGACCCGCAGCAATGTGGTTGATTCTTAACCGCCCTCTGGGCAATTAGGGATGGGTAATAAACGCTGGCCTAGCCAGCCACGCCCGCATCCCGTGAATGAATAAATAATGAATGGCAGCGGCTCTCAAATCAGGCTCATCACCACCAGCTTCCCGAGGGTAATTCGGGATGGGCAAGAAATTCTGGGCATGCCAGCAACAATCATCATCCCTTAATTGAATAAAAATGATAAAAGACGAGGAGGAAAGTAAAGTAGCACCTCCAATGGTGATCATTTTGGTACCAACTCTCATAAATGACAGGAAATAATTGTGTCCAAATTTAACAAGGTGCAGTATTTATCTCAGGATGTGAGCCAGGTTAAGTCTAACACTGATAAAAAGCCACTGGAATAGTGCGTAGACTGCTGAAATCAAATGTGGTGACTGCTTCTAATGGCAGGTAATTGGAACATGGGTAACTAAGTTCCTGGTGCCAATGTAGGAGAGAAAATTTGGACTGCGTTCAGCGAAGGTCAATACCCTGGCCACTTGCGGAGTTGCAGTTTATTTATTAATTATCTGTTGGGTTCTGTTTATGTTTTTAGGGCGAGAAAGGTGATCCAGGAAACCCTGCAAGGGATGTACGTATTTGTTATCGCTTCATCCAGCATGAGCCGATCGCTTGGATTGCTCGGGGTGCACAGAATTTTAACCATCTAAAAATGTCATTGTTTCTCCCATAAATCTTAAGGGCAGCCCACACTGTACCCAGAATGTGGCGCCACATGTTTGACTTCTTCCACACCACTAAATCGTCAAAGAGTTGGTGGCAACACAAAAGGAATTTGGGGGTATAATTTACTACCCACATTGACGCTTCCATCAAGATATTCCGTTATATCCATGAATAACCATAATTGTGATGATCTAGCCATTCATTTTCCTTGAACCAAGAGGTTAATTTTTCCTGATTAAATGTTCTAAGTGAATTTAATCACTAGCTTTCATTTATTGTCACTAGACCTAATGTCTTGGCCCACTTTGAAGGAACAATTTTGCATTCAGTCACCTCTGTACAATGATGCAGCATGCAAGGAATAGGGTCTTGTGACAAAATGGTAGTGTCTATACCTCTAGGCCAGAAGGTCTAAGTTTAAGTCCCACTGGCCCTGGAGGTGTATCATAACACTCTTTTAAGAGATTATTATCATTTTTTCTACTCTGGTCCCAGGCTCCCCCACCAGGGGAAGCAACCTCTCTCTCGTTCTCTCTATCCATTCTTTTAAGCCCCCCAAGAATCGTCTATGTTTCAATAAGTTCTCCTAAACTCCAATGAATACAGACTCAGCGTCTTCTCATAAGACAGTTCCTGCATACTTGATATCAACTGAGTGAACCTTCTCTGGATTGCCTCCAGTACCATTATATCTTACCTTTGATAATGGCCCAAAACTGTTCAGAGTATTTCAGCTATGGTGTGACCAGTGTCTTTTATAGTTCTAGCAAGACTTGTCTATTTTTACACTCTATTCCCTTTGAAATAAAGCTCAATATTCCATTTGCTTTCCCTAATACCTGCTGAACATTTAATTGAGCTTTTTGTGATTCGTACTCAGGGGCGGCACGGTAGCTCAGGGGTTAGTACAGCTGCCTCAGAGCAGTAGGACCCGCAAATCCCTCCGTGCTACAGCTTTCTGTAATCTTTCCCTATTTAAATAATATTCAGCTTTTCTATTCTTCCTGCCAATGTCCACCACCTCACATTTTCCCACATTATTTTCCATCTGCCAGACTTTTGTCCACTTACTTAACCTGTCTAAATCCCTCTGAAAACCCATGATCCTGTCTCATTATTTATGTGATAATCTAACTAGGGTCGAGACGGTGCTAAGGGTGATCGTGGAGATGCTGGACTGCCAGGACTCATTGGTCCACCTGGGCTTCCAGGTGTGATCGGACCTCCAGGACCACCTGGGCAGGTAAGTGATACTCAACATGGGTATAGAGTCATAGAGCTGTATAGCACAAAAACAGACCCTTCAGTCCAACTCATCCATACTGACCAGATATCCTAAATTAATCCTCTCCCATTTGCCAGCATTTGGCCCATATCCCTCTACACCTTTCCTATTCATGTATTCACCCAGATGCCTTTTAAATGTTGTAATTGTACCCGCTTCCACCCCTTCCTCTGGCAGCTTATTCCATACAGGCACCACCCTGAAAAAGTTGCCTCTTAGGTCCTTTTTAAATCTTGCACCTCTCACCTTAAACCTATGCCCTCTAGTTTTTGACTCCCCTCCCCTAAGGAAAAGACCTTGGCTATTTACCCTATCCATGCCCCTCATGATTTTATAAACCTCTGTAAGGTCACCCCTCAGCCTTTGATGCTCCAGGGAAAATAGCCCCAGCCTTTTCAGCCTCTCCTTATAGCTCAAACCCTCCAACCCTGGCAACATCCTTGTAAATGTTTTCTGCACCCTTTTTAACAACAACATTCCTATAGCAGGGAGACTAGAACTGAACATAGTATTCCAAAAGTGGTCTAACCAATGTCCTGTACAGTCGCAACATGACAACTTCTATACTCAATACATTGACCAATAAAGGCAAGCATAGCAAACGCCATCTTCACTATCCTGTCTACCTGTGACTCCACCTTCAAGGAACTCTGAACCTGCACTCCAAGGCCTCTGTGTTCAGCAACACTCCCCAGGATCCTACCATTTAATGTATGAGCCCTGCCCTGATTTGTCTTTCCAAAATGCAACACCTCACATTTATCGAAATTGAACTCCATCTGCCACTCCTCAGCCCATTTGATCCAGGTCCTGTTGTACTCTGAGGTAATTTTCTTCACTATCTGCTACACCACCAGCTTTGTTGTCATTTGAAAATTTACTGACCATTCCTCCTATATTCACATCTAAATCATTCATATAAATGACAAAAAGCAGTGGACCAATCCCTGTGGCACACCGCTGGTCACAGGCCTCCAGTCCAAAAGGCAACCCTCCACCACCATCCAATGCCACCTAAGTTTCAAGCCAATTTTGTATCCGCATGGCTAGCCCTCCCTGTATTCCATGTGATCTAACCTTGCTAACCAGTCTACCATGTGGAACCTTGTCGAATGCTTTGCTGCAGTTCATATAGACAACATCCATAGCTCTGCCTTCATCAACGTTCTTTGTCACTTCCTCAAAATACTCAATCAAGTTAGTGAGACATGATTTCCCACGCACAAAACCATGTTGGCTATCCCCAATCAGTTCTTGCCTTTCCAAATACATGTTATTCCTGTTCCTCAGAATACCCTCCAACAACTTGCCCACCACTAACGGCAGGCTCACCAGTCTATAGTTCCCTTGCTTTTCCTTACCACCTTTCTTAAATCATGGCGTATTCGCCTCCAGTCTTCCAGCATCTCACCTGTGGCTGTCGATAATACAAATATCCCAGCATGGAGCCCTGCAATCACTTCCCAGCTTCCCACAGAGTTCTGGGGTACACCTGGTCAGGTCCCAGGGATTCATCCACCTTTATGTGTTTTAAGACGTCCTGCACCACCTCCTCTGTAATATGGACACTTTTCTACATATCACTATTTACTTCTCTAAATTCTCTAGCTTCCACAGCCTTCTCCACAGTAAATACTGATGCAAAATTCTCATTTATAACTCACCCATCTTCTGCAGTTCCACACATAGATGGCCTTGTTGATCTTTAAGGGGCCTCATTCTCTTCCTAATTACTCTTTTGCCCTTAACGTATTTGTAGAATCTCTTTCAACCCTATTTGCCAAAGCTATCTCATGTCCCCTTTTTGCCCTCCCGATTTTCCTCCTGAGTATAGTCCTACAGCCGTTATACTCCTTGAGGGATTCACTTGATCCCAGCTGTCTGTACCTGCCATATGCTTCCTTCTTTTTCTTGACTAGAGCCTCAATTTCTCTAACCATCCAGCAATCCCTACACCTACTAGCCGTGCTGTTCAACCTAACAGGAAAATGTTGTTTTTGGACTCTCACTGTCTCATTTTAAAGGCCTCCCATTTTCCAGCCATCCCTTTCCGTGCGAACGTCTGTCCCCGATCAAATTTTGAATTTCTTGCCTAATACCATCAAAATTGGCCTCACTGCAATTTAGAATTTTAACTTTTAGATCTGGTCTATCCTTTTCCATAACAGTTTTAAAACTAAAAGAATTATGGTCACTGCCCTCAAAGTGCTCCCCCGCTGACACCTCAGTCACCTGCCCTGGCTTAATTCCCAAGAGTAGGTCAAGTTTTGCTCCTTCCCTAGTAGGTACATCCACATACTGAATCAGAAAATTTTCTTGTACACACTTAAAAAATTCCTCTCTATCCAAGCCCTTGATGCTTTGTCACTCCCAGTCTATGTTTGGAAAGTTAAAATCCCCTACCATTGCAACCCTATCACTCTTACAGATATCTGAGATCTCCTTACAAGTTTCCTGCTTATAATTGGGGGTACCTATAGTCCAATCCTAATAAGGTGATCGCCCCTTTCTTATTTCTTGGTTCCACTCAAATATTGAATTGAATTAGCCTTTATTGTCTAAATGAGTGCAGTGAAAAGTTTGTAATGTCGCCTCTTTGGCGCCATCTTAGGTACAGGGTACCTAGGTACAGATACTGAAGTAGGTGTTGCAGAATTGAGAGAATCATAAATAAATGTTCGGCATAAAAATAAAGAAGTTTTCTATTTAAAAGTACTCGAGTTGTAGTCTTTCCACCAAGTCCATGCCGACACCGAACCTTTAGACCACCCAGCTAAGTCTCCAGACAACACTGGGTTTCAAACCTCAAGCCCTCACTTCCAGTCCCCTTCAATCCGGATAACCTCCCAGGAATATCCTCCCTAAGTACAGTCATAGTGTTATCCCTAACCAAAAACACCACTCCCCCTCCTCTCTTGCCCACCTTTCCATCCTTCCAATAACATCTACGGTTAGGGTTAAGGTTATGGACCAGACCAGACTCTTCCCCCTGCTCAAAGTATTGTAAGGAGATAGCCTAGGCCCTAACTTTCATGTTTATTTAAAGTCAAGCGGAAGGTGCTGCGTTCCAGATGTAATTCGATTGGTCCACTGCTATGCTTTAATCAAAACACGTTTCAATCTTACAACTCAGTTAAAATATAATCTAAAAGAATTCACATAACTCTATTGAAATGTTTGATAATATAATGTATTATTCATATTTAACCACTTATCATCAACTGTTCCAACACAGGCAGCATCCCGCAAACACACCTTTTGGCAAAAATGCATTTCAGCAAAACAGTTATGGTTCTCACGTGCTATCTCTCTCCAATCCCGAAGAAAGAAACAATCTGCCCCTTTTGGTTTTTAAGAGGAAGCCTCGCTATCTGAGTCTTCACTGCAGCAGCCGGGAGCTGAAGCTTTTAGCTCAGCAGCCAGTAGAAACCTTCTCACTAACTGAAAACAAAACCAAAAACCTTCCTGAGTCTGTGTGTGCCTGCCCACTCATGATTCCAACTGCCTGCCTGAAGGAGACATTCCAACACCACTGTGGTAACTCGTCTCTGTCAGAGAAACAGCACAGAACAAGTCTTACTCAAAGGCACAGCACTGCCGAAGGGGAAAAGAAAGCTGAGTGGTGAACATGTATTTATTTGTATTTCAGAAACAAGCAATTCACGTCACTTCATTTATTTACCGTAAATTTGCAGGTCTTATTTTTCAAAGGGCTTGAACCATCCTCCCCAGTAGCAGGACCGCCGGGACCCTCAGGAACACCGGTAAGATGGCAAGATAACAGTTACTTTAAAATACAGTCAAATGTTAATTCAAGAGGGCTGGTAGACATCAGATCCAATTACATGAAGAATTTTGAGGCAAAAATATGACCTCCATTTAAATCAAGTAAGTAAATGCATCTTGTTGCGTGGAATAGAGGGAGCTCTAGGCTGCTTTTTGTCCATATTGCATGACACAACATGCTTCAGAACATTCCAGAAAGAGATGCTTCATGATAAAAAAGCTACTGTAGGATATAACACAGTGTGGAGCTGGAGGAGCGCAGCAGGCCAAGCAGCATCAGAGGAGCAGGAAAGCTGACGTTTCGGGTCGGGACCCTTCTTCAGCTGACCCGAAACATCAGCTTTCCTGCTCCTCCGATGCTGCCTGGCCTGCTGTGTTCCTCCAGCCCCACACTGTGTTATCTCTGACTTCAGCATCGGCAATTCTTACTATCTCTGAGCTACTGTAGGATGTTATGCTGCATTATATTTTAATCTAGAACAAGCTCCGGTGTTGAGTAGAAATGCATTGACCTGGAACAGCACATCTTTCATTGTCTAACATGGTTTTACAACACTGCAGTGTTCTGCATACCAATATGAACAGTCAAGTCAGAGCACATAGTTACAACCCTCATAATTAGTACAAAGCCATGATTTCCTGTAACTGATCCAGCACAACAAACATTCAAGAACAAATCAGTGTCATGTTTCTAATAATTTAAACCACATGCAGGATTTGAGCGAGTGTTTTCTGCAGCTCATAAGTTGAGGAATTTTTATTTATTTTATTAATTTGTGGGATGTAGGCATCACTAGCTGGTTAGCATTTATTGCCTGTCCCTCACGTGTAATATATATTCAACAAGACGGTGATGAAGTAAATATTCAGTGTGTTTCCAGACCGATCCAATCCTATGCAGATCCTGTTCTAGATCTACATGATGGGGAGCAGACTATTGGTCTCCTGACTAGGAGACAGTAAGGACTGCAGATGTTGGAAGCCAGAGTGAATGCACATGGAGCTGGACAAACGTAGCAGTTCGGACAGCATCAGAGGAGCAGGAAAGTGAATGCCTCGGGCCAAAACCCTTCATCAGGGAGTTGACACCTGCTCAATGCAGGTTACACTGTGCAAGGGAATCTCCATTCAGGCCGTGCAGTGACCAAAGGAACTAGCATCTCATCACTCTGTAGAATTATTCCACTGCACCCATGTGTAAAATTGTCCTTGTACTTGCTTGTTGTGAAGTGGGAAGTCTGCTGTGATGATGTATCCACGTAACTGTCTGTTTTGTATTGTTTTGAGGTATCATGCATGATGCATGGGGAATAGGAGCCAAGTAATTGTGGAGGGGATGGCCTGGTGCTGTTGTCATTGGACTATTAATCCAGTGACCTTGGTAACATCCTGAGGGTCTGGGTTCAAATCCCACACTGTGGTAGAATTTAAAAGTCTGGAGTTAAGGGTTGAATGACAACCATGAAACTATTGTCACCTTTTTTGGTGGGAAAGCCTGTCTGGATCACTAATGTCCTTTAGAAATGGATATTTGCCATCATTACGTGGTCTAGTCTATATGTGACTCCAGACCTACAGCAATGTAGCTGATGTGCCCCTCTGGGCTATAGGAGCCGGGCTATAAATGTTGGCCTAGCCAGCGATGCCCTCATCCTGTAAATGAATGTTAAAAAACTTAATGGCAATAATTGTCATTAATTTGAAAACATGTACTCACTATTGAAGCTGCAGCAGTAAAAGTGAATTAAGTTCATGATGTTTAGTGAGATCTTCATGGTAAATCCTGTGCGGGCTAGAGTCACTGCCAGATCCCAAATTACAGCATTAGTCCTCATCAATAGTGGTTCAATTAGTAGCATGCTTACTTCTAAGACCAAAAAGTAATAGGTTCAAATCCCACTTAAGCCAAAAAATCAGAGTTGATATTGCCAGTGATGATCTATTGGAGATAAATAGAGAAATTCAGAGGACTCTGTAGAGAGAGAAGCAATGCTTTGAGTCTGAAATAACTCTTGGAAATGCTATTTTTTTGATTAGGTGTTAGACCAAGGCCCCACTTGCCCTCGCAGTTGGATGCAAAATGATCCCATGAGGCAGTTTTAAGGAGAGGGATAGAATTATCCCAGCATTTTTGACCAATATTTATCCCTCAATCACCGTCACAAAATCAGATTGCTTGGATACTATGACAATACTATTAGTGCGAGCTTGCTGTGTAAAAATTAGCTGCAGCGTTTCCTACATCACAACAGTGACTGCACTTCCAAAAAAAGTACCTCATTGGATGTAGGGCGCCCTGGGACATTGTGCAGTCATGAAAGATGCTATAGAAATGTGAACTTGTCCTACCAGTCTTACATCGCTGTCACATCAGTTCAAGAGGGCTTCTTCGTGTTAGATAACTGCGGAGATTTGGATGGGAACTAAGGAGGACCCTGTAGCGTTTTAATGTTTTTGATAAATAGTACAATCAGCAGCAGGTTGTGATGTCTGAATGCCAACAGGGGCCTGTGGGGTTTGATCCTCAGATCAGGATCTGCGTGACTGCATGATCTGTTATTCAGGCAGTGTTGAGAGAGGGCCACACAGCCTGACAGACTTGCCTCTCATGTGATATCAAACAGATATGTTCAAGCAAAGCATGATTGAGCAAAAAGATGAGTTAGAAAAACCCCTTACTTCTTTTCTTCCCACTGTGAATGTTGGACTGTTAACGGCTGCTCATAATCGTGTGTGGGAATTTCAGAATGTGATTGAGACTTCAGTAAAGTTGCTTTTAAATGTATCGTTTTGCTTGTTTTCTACAGGGAATACCAGGTATCCCAGGAGCCTCAGGGCAACGTGTAAGTTCTTTATGTTCTCATCCTACCAATGAGCAGTCTGGATATAACTAAGTGGGAGAGTGAGTCATGAGGTGGATGCACGTTGAGCAAATATATGGCAGATGCACTACAGCACCTGTCAATGTGAAGTTATACACTTCAGTGTGAGAAATCGAAAGGCAGAGCATTATTTGGTGACATACTGGGAAAGTGGATGTTCAAAGGGACCTAGGTGACCTTGTACATCAGTCAATGGAAGTAAACAGGCAATAGCAGCAAGCAATCAGAAGGACAAATTGCATATTGGCCTTCATTGCAGGAGGATTTGAGTTCAGAAGTTGAGACATCTTACTATAGTTACAAAGAGCCTTGGTGAGACCACACTTGGAGTATTTGTCGCGTACAGTTTTGGTCTCCCTACCCAGGGAGGATATATTTGCCACAGAAGGGTGGCACAGTGGCTCAGTGGTTAGCCACGCTGCCCAACAGCGCCAGGAACCCAGGTTCAATTCCACCCTCGGGCGACTGTCTGTGTGGAGTTTGCACATTCTCCCTGTGTTTGCGTGGGTTTCCTCTGGGTGCTCTAGTTTCCTCCCACAGTCCAAAGATGTGCAGGCCATGCTAAATTGTTCGGGGATATGTAGATTAGGTGGATAACAGGGGGATGGGTCTGGGTGGGATGCTCTGAGGGTCAATGTGGACTTGTTGGGCCGAAGGGCCTGTTTCCACACTGTATGGGTTCTATGAATCTATGATAAGGAGTGCGGTAAAGGTTCACTAGGCTTATGACAGTATGAGGATTGGTATTCACTAGAGTTTAGAAGAATGAATGGGGATCGGATTGAAATATCTAGGGCTAGACAGACTAGATATAAAGAGAGTATTTCTCCATGGAGAATATTTTCCCATGGTTTGAAGAGTCCAGAACCAAAGGGGCATGGTCTGAGGATACAAAGTAAGGTATTTAGGACAGAGATGAGGCACCATTTCTTCACTCATAGGGTGGTCAACCTGTGGAATTCACTACTACAGAAGGCTCTGGAGACTACGTCACTCAGTATGTATTCAAGAAAGAGATTGATAGTGTTTCAGGCATTAAAAGTGTCAAGAGGCATGGAGAGAAGCAGTGAGATGGCATAGAGAGAAGCAGGAATATGGCACTGAGATAGAGGAAAAGTGATACTATTGAGTTATGGAACAGGTTTAAAGGAGCCAAATAGCTTTCTTCCGCTCCTGACATAAAAAGGAAATACGTTGAGTGACAGGAGACAGAGAGTTGGAATAATGGGTAAGTACGCAAATTGGCAGGACGTAACCAGTGGTGTCCCACAGGGATCTGTGTTGGGGCGTCAGTTATTCACAATCTTCATTAATGACTTGAATTAAAAAGTCAAATATCCAAATTTGCTGCCGATACAAAATTGCAAAGATGTGCAGGTTAGAGTGGATTGGCTATGCTAAATTGCCCATATTGACCAGGGGTGTATAAATTACAGGTGGATTAGACATGGGAAATGCTGGGTTACAGGGTAGGGGAATGGATCTGGGTGGGATGCTCTTTGGAGGGGCAGTGTGGACTTGTTGGGCCAAATGGCCTGTTTCCACAATGTAGGGATTCTATGATCTATGATTGTAGACATTGTTGACAACAGTATAAAGTTACTACAGGATCTTGATCCATTAGGTGAATGGGCAAAGCTGTAGCGGATGGATTCTAATATAAGCAAGTATAAAGTTATCCATTTTGGACCAAAATAGGTGGATCAGGGTACTCTGTAGATGGTATGAAGTTAAACACAATGGTTGTTCAAAGAGATTTGGGGTTCAGTTACGTAGATCTTTAAAATGCCATGAACAGGCATGGGAAGTAATCAAGAAGGCTCATGGGATGTGGTCTTTCTATTTCGAGGACTGGAGTATAAGGATGCAGAAGTGATGCTGCAGTTATACAAAACCCCGTGTAGACTGCACTTGGAGAACTGTGAGCAGATCTGGGCACCACAGCTCAGGAAGGATGTATTGGCCTTGGAGGGTGTACAACGTAGGTTTTCAAAAATGATGCCTGAACTTCAGGGATTAAAGCATGACAAGAGATTATACGTATTAGGCTTGTTTTCTTTAAAATTTAGAAGGTCAAAGGGTGATCTGATCCAAGTCTTTAAGGTATTGACAGGAAAGGATTGGGTACATAAAGGTAAACTGGTTGGAGTTTCCAGAACTCGGGGGCATAGTCTGAGAAGTAGGGCCAGACTGTTCAGGAGAGACAAAAACAGAAATTGGTGGAAAAACTCAACAGGTCTGGCAGCATCTGTGGAGACAAATCAGAGTTAACGTTTCGGGTTGAGTGACCCTTCATCAAGAGACATGTTAGGAACCGCTTCTGCACACATGGTAGATTTTGGAACTCTCTTCCACAAATAGCAGTTGATGCTGAATAATTGTTAATTTTGAGTCTGAGTTGGATGCATTTTTGATAAGCAAATGAATTAAGGGATATTGGCCAAAGGCATGTGGATTGAGTTAGGCCACAATTGGAAGGCACAACAGGCTTGAAGGGCTGAATGGCCTACTCCTGTTCCAATGTTTACTTGATTGCCCCACTCAAGTATATATCTTGCATTTGCAGGGAGAGAAGGGAGACGTTGGTGCCAAAGGCCAGAAGGTACGTAGGTAAAGCTCTCTAATGGTGTGTAGTGTGTGCATTAAATGCTGGAAGACTTGAGCCTCTGCACGTGTAAAGTGGGACGACAGGTTGGTATTTTGGATGTAGTTTAACCATAATTTCAGAAGCGTTAAAGGGTGCTGTATGTTGTAATATGATATGATGCTTGGGTAACCACTCACTGGTAGCTTGGGTGTTGGGTAGATTACTGCCGCCCATCATCCTTCCTGTGCAAGTCGAAGGACCTGTTCAGTAGCCCGTGAGAGAGGATGGGTCTCAGCAGTCTCAGCAGAAGATGCTCTTGTCTTCAATAACAAGATGATGTTTAATACATAACTAAACATGCATAAATTACTCAGGTATATTAGCTATTAGCAGGACTAATGACAAGACCCGTTGTCACTTGTTGCAAAACCTTTGAGTATACTTGAGAGAAGGAAAGTGCCATCCTTACCTGGTCTGGTCTATACGTGGCTCTGGACCCTCAGCAATGTGGTTGACTCTTAACTGCCCTCTGAAACGCCCTCTCAGTTCAAGGGCAATTAGAGACGAGCAACAAATGCCATTATTGCCAGCCATACCCACATTTACATGCAAGAATAAGTGAAAATTACTGACAAGATTTGGTAAGATATGCATGCCTCTATCAGGAGACCATGGCCAGGATCTAACTAATTCCAAATAGCCCCTGTCCCCATCTAGTGGCTGTGTTACATATCAGACTGGGAGGGCTCTTCTGGTGCCCATACCTCTGAGTTAGGAGGACTGGGTTCTATCACGAACATCAATTAGCAGCAAAACGGCACGATGGACTCTCCTTAATACCTGTACATTCAGACAATGAAGGCCATCAGTTTAACTGGGACAAAGTAACCATAGTAGCCCAAGCCAAACATAGACACGCACAGGAATTCCTAGAGGCATGGTTCTCCACCCATACTTCAATCAACAAACATATAGAATTGGACCCTATATATAAACACATACAGATCAAAACCAGAATTGACACTACTCACCATAACGGACCGGACAGTATAAATTCCAACCTGAGTAGAATAACATTGCTTCATCGGAGGCTCCACTGATGATGTCTCCCAGCATGGTGACAAAACGTCTGAGCGATAACAAGCCAGCTCAGCGAACAATTCAACAACCTGACTTTGGAACTCTCTGCATCAGAAATTGTTGCGGGTGGGGTCATTGAATATTTTTAAGACAGTGGGTAATAGATTCATGTGAGGCAGAAAGTCAAAGGATATTTGGGAGGCAGGGGGGTGGTGGTAGGGGTTCTAAATGGGAATGTTGCATTCGAAATGCAAAACATATCTGCCATAGTCTTAATAGATGGCAGAACAGGCTTGAGGGGCCGAATAGCCTAGCCCTGCTCCTTTTCATTTGTTCAGATGTTAACTTGAGGCTCCATCAGGTGGAGGTAAAAGATCCCATGGCCACTAAATCGAATAAGAGTAAGGGGCCAGCCACAATGTCTCAGCCAACATTTATCCATCAAAAATAAATTACAAAACGTAGATCACATGATCATGATCTCATTGCTATTAGTGGGATCTTGCTCTGCACAATTTGGCTGCCAAATTTCCTACATTACCACACTTTAACAATACTGGCATGGAAAAAAAAAGTCTAGATTGCAGTTGTGTGATCATTATGAATGTGAAGAAAGGTGCTGAAACTTTGTGACAAACATCTCCCTGTTCTTTGTTTTTGTGACAGGGTGAAAGTGGTTTGGATGGGAAGCCAGGAGCACCAGGGACAGCTGCTGTAAGTACAGAATGTTTTAAATGCTGTTTGAATCTTCGTTTAATGTGACAGAGCAGAGACAGAAAAGGCACTGACCGATGACGGTGATGGTTCTGCCTTATATGTTCACCCCGCGGGAGTCCGGCTTGCTGTGCATTTTTATGTGGATGTTGGAGCCTGGAGCTACACATAGGGATGGTCAATGCTCCAATATTTTCTCACCCTCAAACAATTGTCCAGGAATCTCTCTCACTCTTACCACCCAGTCGTTAGCACACACTGGAATGATTTGCAGGTTGATCCACAACCTGTTTGACGTCGTTATCAACAAACCTCCCGTGGACTTTAAGTTCTGGAGTGGGATTCCAAAGCCTGAACTTCTGGCTTAGAGCTAGGGACGCTACCTGGGTAACTCTGACATCAGCAGGCACATGCCATTAGGATTGAGAATGGGGCAGTATTCTGTAAGTCAGGTTGGAAGGAAGAGTTGGTACAGACTACTAAGAGACAGACAGTAGTCACGAGTGGATTATGCAGAAGCAGCGATGCAGCAGAGTCAGAGTCAGGATTTTTCTAAAACAGCAGTCTCTACAGTAAGGTCTGGTCTATGAGAACAATCTCTACAGTGTGGACCAGTCTATGAGAGCAGTCTCTATAGTGTGGACCAGTCT